CCGTTGGGGGTGGCGCTCTCCTCTGAGCCCGCGGACCGCGCAGGGTGTGGGGACAGCCATCAGAGCTAAGCCACATGCTCAGGGCCGCCCGAGTCCCTGAGAGCTGGGCCAGGGCCCAGGCGGGACGCGGGGCCAGCTCCTCTGGGAAGCACAGCAGTGGCCGCCCCACCCAGCCAGCTTCCCAGGGCTCCTGCTCCGAATGAGGGCAAGAGGCTGGGCCCGCGGGACTCAGAACACTGTTCCTCTGAACTGGAAGGAAAATAGTCTCATTTGCATGCAATTTGCATACAGCTGCTGAAAATGAGCCCACTTTCCCCACCACTTTAACACCACATTGTTTCTGCCTTGAAAGGGACCTTCCCACGCACATGCCAGTCCCCCAGCCACCCGCCACGGTGGTGTCCCCTCCTCACCTCTCGCTGGAGCAGCCGGGGGAGGGGGGGTGTCACCAGGCAAAGCTGGGGCGGGAGGGAGGGTGCGGGCGGAGCACTGTGCCTGGGGGGCCAGTCCAGCTGCAGAGGGTCTTGTCAGCCTCTCAGGCCAGTTCCCACCTCCCTGCCCTCGAACCAGACACCCTGGCCAGGCCCACAGGCGGGGTCAATCCCAACCCGGTCTATAAAACAGGAATGATGTCTGGCGGCGGCGGGGCTCAATGGGTGAGCATCGACCTAGGAACCAGGAGGTCACAGTTTGATTCCTGGTCAGGGCACAGGCCCGGGTTGTGGGCTCGATCCCCAGCGTGGGGCATGCAGGAGGCAGCTGATCCATGACTCTCTCATCATTGTTTCTATCTCTCCCTCTCCCTTCCTCTCTGAAACCAATAGAAATATACTACTAATAATAAATACATAAAACCGGGGTGCCTCAGCAACCCCAAACCACACACCGCCCCCCAGCCCAGCGGCGCCCGCCCAGCACCAGGTGAGCACGAGTGTGAAGGCGCACAGGGTGGGTGCTGGGCACCGTGAGCGCAGGCTCTCACACCTGGGCTGGAGTCAGCGCCCGGGGAACATGGACAGCAGGTGTGGCGCCCACGCCCCCCTCCCCGTCACAACACCAACCAGCAGGCTCAAAGGAGGGGCCACCCCCTCATTCACCCGTCCACCCCCTCATCCATCCCCCCTCATCCACCCATCCACCTATCTATCCATCCATCCATCCATCCATCCCCAGCCCCCCAGCCCCCAGCCGACAGGGCCCTTCACCCTCCACAGGTGACACCACAGGAGGCAGGGTGACCACCCTAGAGGCGCAGACCCACCACCCGCCCCTCTCCCCGCCCTCATGCCAGTCCTGGGCTCAGAAATGCCCCGTGGGCATGGCCCTCTCCGGGGAGGTCAGGCCTGAGCCGTCTGGGATGGGACGGGGCCGAGGCCGTGGGCTGTCCCTCTGACTTACGTGGTGCCGGCTGGCTTCAGCCAGGAGCTGGCTGGCGGCCTCAGTGTGCGAGGATGCCGCCTCCAGGCTGGCTTCAATACTGTCTGCAAATCAGACAACAGGAGCGGTTATTCCTGGAGACTGAGGGGCGGGAACCGAGGGGCGGCACCTCCCCTTCCTGGTCCCTGAGGTCCAGGTGAGGAGTCTGGCCTCCGAGAGGCAGTGGCTGCAGCTGGGCGCCGGGCGCTGGTCTGGCATAGCACTGCCCGGCCCAAACCATCAGGACAGAGATCTGGAGGCAGGACAGCCCCTCAGGACAGGGCAGAGGCTGGGCTGGTAGATTCTGCCCCCTGGGCGGCTCCCACTGGCGGGGCCTCGGCCACGGAGGAGGGCAGGGCTGTGGAGCCACGGGGAAGCCTAAGGCCAGTCTGTGAGCACCTCCGGGCACTGGCCCTTGGGGCGCTGACCAATGAGCATCCTGGCTACC